ATGTTAATGATAAATCTTGTAGTGTTTTATCTTTATTTAGAAAAGACGTCGAAAGAATAATTTAGTTGGAGGAGAAACGAAGATTTGATATCGAAAGAGAAAAAAGAGTGCTACTTCAATTCATACTTCAAAATTTTTTGTTTGAAGTAGATGCACAGTCGTACTTTTCCTCCGTTATGTGTTACATTCCCCGAATCACGTAAGTCGTTTTTTTTCTTCTTATACTTTAAGCTGTAAATGTTTTTTTGCGTTCTGTTAAAGAAGAAAATATTTTGTCTCTCTTTTAGAGTAATAAGAGCTACGTCATCTACTTTCATATTCACCGTCTTAAACTAATATTATAGACATCATTTTAAAAAATAATATTCTTATAGTCAGTTGAAGTATAAACGTTATTTTTCATTTCTAATTTTATTTACAAAAATTTATCGTGAAACCAATAATGTACAAAATGAAAATATTTTAAAAGGACTTCGAATATTTATTCTTCTCATTGAGAAAATATAAATTTGTTCTCATACTAATTATCCGTACTATTTTTTTTTATTATTATTGATCATTTATTCTGTGATTTTCTTATTATAAATAAGCATACCATGTGGTCTAATGTTTCGTACAAGTGGTACAGAATCTGGAGGTGGAATGATATTAACAGATTGAGATAATTGATTATTTCGTACTCGACTATAAACATCACTTAATTGTGCCTAACATATAAAAATTATTTTTTTATTAAATATATATTTATAAATTAATACTTGTGCATCAAATAATTGTCTATAAACTTTATTATTTGGTAAAATTCGAGAAGCTGTAGCTGGTGAATTAAACATTTGTTTTTAAATTAATTCATTTGTTTTAAATTTCACCATTAATGAAATTTTTAAAATTTTCGTTACTTAGCAACGCTCTCTATTGCCCTTAATCCATCTATAATGCATTGATATATTTTTCTAGAGGTCATATACACTTAGACAATGGTAACTATAAACCGATCATCGTAATTTATTTTTCTTTCTACAAGAATGTTCGTTCTTTCTGTCCTTTCTTTTAACGTACGCAAGTGTGTATGTGTGTGTATGTCTATACGTACGTATATATGCAGGGTCATATCGCCAACTATCTGAAATTATCGACCTATAATAAAACTATGTTTGTTTCAAAGTGCAGTTTTTTTTAAAATTTATCGATAAAAATTGTAGGATTTTATTTTTTTTTTTGATTTTTGATTTTTGATTTTTGATTTTCCTTTCCCCCCCGGTGACTAAACATGGAAATTGATTTTGCTCATTTACATAATCCGACTTTATTTGGTTCATTATCTGTCTCTCCACCAGCCTCAATGTTCGATTCATTTTCTCCATTACTTCATTTAAATGATGATTTTTTGGATGTTTTAAATCCTTCATCAATCGATGATGATACAGATGATTGGATGAAACCATTATTACTTGATCAATTATTTGAACATGATTTTTTATCTCCACAACTTTCAATTGATGATATTGAAGTTAAACAAGAAAAACAACCCGATGATGATAAACGAAAATTAATATCTTTTAATAACAATTGTTCATTTATTATTGATGAAAAATTTCTTTCTAATAATTATTCTCAACAACAACAACAACAACAACACCAACATCAACAACAAAGAGAAAATGAACTTATGGATTTTTTTCAACAACATTCTGAACAACAATTACCACCATTACCATCAACAACAACAACAGTTCGTTTAATACATCAACCTAAAATTGAACCCGCTGAATTACCAACAACATTATATGTTAGTGGAAATGAATTACAATTTCATCCAATTGTAACAACAAATAATACAACAAGTAAAACAATTGGACATACTTATACAAGTAAAAATAATTTTATAGGAGAAAAGAAAAAAACAAAGTCATAAAATTTTATTTTTAATTTTATTTTAGCAACAACATCATCACCTCTTCCATCTGTACCGATACAACCATCAGTACCTATTGTACCAGCGAGAGTATTAAAAGGCAAAAAATTTAAACGCGGAGGACGAGTTTCATCTCGAGCGTACGTTGGCCGTTTTTTTGTTGTTGACATTATTCATTCAGTTTTTTCTTTTTCTTATCTTAGAACATCAAGAAGTAACGCAGCTGCTAAAAGACGTTTGAATTCAACAGCAGCAGGTAATATTTTTATATATGATATCAGTTTAATCTAGATTAGAGTACATTTTATAATTCGTTTCTAACTAAATTTTAAATGAAAATATTGCATTGTAATATCTATAATAGAATAATATTGCGCAAGTTTTTTCTAATGATTCATAGTCAACCTTACACAATCAGTACTTTTTATACATAAATGTAATTATGAAATTTAGTATTAACTGATATGAATATATTTATTAGAGAAACTGTACTATTTCATAAATTATTTCGAAAAAAAAGACAGTCTTATAGTTTTATCGATAAAACTTCCGTTGTTTATGACCATAATTTATATAACGTCACATATAGGTGCAATATAAATAGGACAATTGAAAATTCTTATCAGATTGACTTTTATTTTAAGCATATCTATATATCGTATACAATCTATATACTATGTGAATGAACATATTAAATTTGAAAATTGTATGACGAACGAGACGATTAGCATCTGTTTTCAATATACTTTATTATATCTTAAGGTTAATAAAATGAAACAATCTATTTCAATTTCGAAACAAAATTAATGAGTTAGTTTTCTAAATAATGAGATTAATTGTATATCATCTTTGATAACGATAATTTTCATTTGAATTAATAATCGCTATTTCTTGCCTTGTACATTGACATGCACTCTAAGTCTTCTATATCAATACGTCCAAACATAACATTTAGAAGTATTCTCTTTTGTTAAAAATTCTATGAATTCAAATGAAATTATTTTTAGAACCAAAAGCAAGTGTTGTTATAATAGCAGAAGATGCAACAAGAATAGATTCGAAAACAACAACATTAGGTTTAAGTTCAACAGGTTCATGTTCAAATGATTCAGATCTATTAAAATCTTCATCATCAACAACAACATCAACACGTTCATCAACTCGTCGTCGTGTTAAATCAACACCACGTGAAGTTATTTTATTTCGTAATGGAACATTTGTATCAAAAGAACCAATAACAAAACAACAACCAACAACAACATTATGTTTTGAAACGACAACAACATCATCAAATAATACTTGTCCATTACCACCTCCTCCATTACATCAACAACAAATAACAGCAACTGGTTTACAAGCAGCTGCACAAATTGTTGCATGTAATGTTCTTAGACAAGCAACTTTAAATGGTAAAATATGATTATTAAAATAAATAAATAAATAAATAAATGAGATAATTTTTCTTTTAAAGATGCATTAATTGAACAATTAATAAAACGTGAGCCAGCAAATAATGATGATGATTTTCCAATATATTGTTATTCAAGTCCATCACTATCATCTGCATCATGTACAATGACAGCAGCTATGGATGAATATGAAAATAGTTGTTCGACAACATTAAAAATTCTTGGATGTAATACAACAGCACCATTACATTCAACAACAACAACAAATAATACAACAACAACAACTATTGAATTACTTACATTTGCTGCTTTACAACAGCAACAACAACATCATCATCATCACCATCATCAACCACAATTTTGTTATATTAAACAAGAACCAGGTACAACAACTACAACCACGACAACATTTCTTCTTCCTCGATTACTTCCACAGTGAATGTATGTGTGTTTATGTGCGTACGTGTGTGTGTAGGTTCATTTTTTCTTTCATGATGATAATAAAACAACATGACATATCAATGAGCAGTAGCTACAGCAAAAAACGGTTTTAATTTTAAAAAAAGGAAACTGATATTGTTTTTCTTTTTGTCTACTTTCAGTTGATTTTCTATGTTTTTTTTTCTTTTTTTCTTTTCTTTTCTTTTCTTTTCTTCTTTTCTTTTGTTTGTTTCTTTGTTTTTTCTTTTTGTTTGTTATTTCAGTTCACTAGCACATATTTGTGTAGATGTGTTTGTTTAACTGAAAATTAACTTTACTGTTATTACTGTATTACTGTGGCCATCTGTTTTTTGTTTGGCTCTTGTTGTTGTTGTTAAAACGAAAACATAAAAAATACTGCAGGGACTATCGAATTTAGTCTATTTCTGTTTTTTGTTATTCTTTTAGTTTTTTTTTTCTATTGATTTAGATTATATTTATATATATATATATAAAACGACGAGTTAACTTCGATCTACGATTAGATGATTTTATATTTATATAATTTGTATAGAATGGCAAGAAAAAAGAAAGTATTTATGATTGTCAGACAATAATATTGAAATTGTGAGTTAATAACAGATTATTTTTCTATTATATAATTGTAATTGATGATATTAAAGAGAAGTATACATATCAGAAAATTTTAAATTTAAGACAACAGTATTGTTGTTTTATAACGAATGAAAAGAGTCTTATAATTGCTAGATTATATAGTATAGAAGAAGATATGTATCTGATATTTTTAAAAGTATAGTTTAGAAAAGAATCATTCTCTACCGATGGAAAAGAAATAAATTTCATTCGTTTCGATTAACTATATTTAGTAAGAGTAGAATATACATCAAGTAATTTGAGATATTGACAGTTTGTGACGATACTGTTTTTTATATTCATATTCAGTATTTAATGCTGAAATAAATATTAGAATTAAGAGTGTGAGATTGGCATAAAAATATTTTGAGTGGACGTATCGAATCTCACTAATTTTGAATTTCTAATAATAAATCAAATGATTAACTGTAGTTTATAAATAACTTGTTAAATATCATATTTTTGATACTTAATCATTCGAAAGATATATCTTATGATTTACGGCTTATTATTGTTTTTGTTTCTTAACAGAAAAAGACTATTATCATTCCTGTCGCACATAAATTCAGTATAGATATTATCTCGAAGTTTGTAGTCAAAATTCCTTTGGCATACTACATTAATTTGTATTGATTTCCTTTTTTTTGAAAAAATAAAATACTGCCATCTTTTCTAATAATTTCATTTCAAGTATAAAATATTATCAAATAAGTTAGAATGTAGTCAATTATTGATAAACAGTAGTATTCATATGATTTATATACTTCAACAGATAAATAATCTTTTGTTTAGGTACGTCAAACACATGCTATACTGCATTTTTATCATGCAAAAAAATACTTGTAACTTTTCATTCTAAATATATAATTTCTTGCGAACGACGTACACGTGTACAAGAAAATTTATTTTTTCTCCATTTCGTATAGAGGCCGTAATATACTTCAGGTATAGAGTGCGACCAAAAATTCGATAACATTTCGTCGCAATCAGTGATATATATATAATACCACTTATCTCGTGATACGTCCATTTAAGAAAATATTAAGATTATACTAAATCATTTACCTATTAATAACATTACTTATGTCATATTTCATATATTAATCTCATGAGAATTCTACTAATATCTTTTCTTTTATTAATTGTAGATATGGAATCAATAGAATGTTCTCTATGTCATCGAAAATTCGATGATAATACTCTTCTTTCACTACATCATGAATATGAACCATGTTTTAATTCAAATGATCCTTTAGCATCACATATAAGTTATAGTTGTCCAATATGTGATAAAATATTCCATGATACTCTTGTTCTTCAAATTCATGTCAATGAAGATCATGATCATACCTCTGTACATACAACATCAGATAATTTATATGCTCAGGAATTAGAACGACGTGATCGAATGAAAATTAAACATCAACAAGAAACAGCTTCAGCAATTTCATATGAACAATTAGAAGAACAAGATAATGATGATAATGATGATGCTCGGATAGCTCGTATGTTACAAGAAGAAGAAAATGCTCAGTCATTTGAAGAATTTCAGGTTGGATTAATCAAACTCAAATATATTTATTTTGATTTCTATTGTTTATTATAGAATCGTTATGGTGGAAGTACAAGAACATTTAGTGAACGTGCTCGATGGAATTTAGAAAAAGTTTATAAAAAAAAATTTATTTCACAACAAAAATATGATGAATATAAAAATAAATTAGATGAAATGATTGCACAACCCGTAGAAAGAATGGAATCGAGATCAACTGGTAAAAATAACATTCTAAAGTTTTTTCTTTCAACTTCTCTTTTGCTTTAATTAGGACTTATACAAATTATTTCACGTTTACCAATGAGTAATATACTTGATCGTCGTCTATGCAATCCAGGTTGTGATCATATGAGTTCAACATGGCTTGATCAAGGTTGGGCATGTGGTTATAAAAATTTTCAAATGTTACTTTCATCACTTCGTAATGATTCTCAATATTCCATGCATTTATTTGGTCACGATGCAACAAATCAAATCAATGATGATATACCATCTGTTAGTTATTTACAAAAATTAATTGAAAAAGCTTGGACAGCTGGATTTGATAGTGCTGGTCGTGAACAATTAAATGGACATTTAATTAATTCAACAAAATGGATTGGACCAACAGAAATTATGGCATGTCTAGCAAATTTAAATATAAAGTAAAACTAATCATATGATTTTAATATTGAGAATAAAAATAACGTTTTTTTTTTATTTATTCTAGAACAGAATTATTTGATTTTCATCAACCGAAAACAATTGAAAAATCAATTGCTTTTAAATATTTATTTGAATGGATTAAAAATTATTTTCAACAACAACAAGAAAATAGAAATAATATTATTCATCCACTTTATTTACAACATGAAGGTATTTTTTGATTTGAATTTTAAGAACATTGTATATTTTTATATTCAAATGCATTGAAAGTACATTACATAAATAGTAGAATAGAATGACTTAATAAAAAAAAGTCATGTACAAAATTTTTTCTGTTATGATGTCATAATATGACCTTGTGCTCGATAAGGTAAATGAGTTAGTTTATTTATTATTTCTAGGGGATTAGGTGAAAATAACCTTGTGTTATGATTAATAAAACCTAATAATTGTAATGACATTAACAGATATTATTTTCGAATAATAAAAAAATAGTTGATAATACATTGTTTTTTTTGTATAGGTTATTCTGAGTTGAATCAGTATTTTCTTTTAATTATAATAAATTAAAAAGATATAAAAATAGTTGTAAAACTTCAAATGATTCAATTAAAAACAACAGATTTAATAAACATTGTTTTTTTTTCATTCTTGAAGAAAAGAACCAATGAAATATCCTTACATTTATTGTTTTATTTTGTTGATTCCATAGATATTATTACGGGATTGAAATTGAAGGGCAAAAAATATATATAATATATAATTTGACTCTAGTAAAGCTTTTCTATAAGATGTATGAAATTTGGATTCTCTTGTAATTGGTATTCATTATGAACTCATAGATAATAAGAGTTTGAATTGAACAATTATGTTTTTTTTAACTTCAAAGATAAGAATGAGAACAAAATGAACTAATTATGTCATCTGGTAATCTACAATACAGAGTACTATAAAGTCATAGGTTTTGACGACGAGTTTAAGTTAATTCGAGAAAATATCGAAACTTTTTTTTTCACCATTTAGTAATGTTTTCTCATACTATCTGTTAATAAAAACATCTTTTTGATGTCTTATATCCCTTGAAACTTATTATTAAAACTAAAAATAACATATTTATATTCAGTACGCCGTATGTAAAGTGCTAAGTTATTATTATATAGATAAGAGAACATATCTCAATGTTCTACTGAGATAATCTTAGAATAGAGTTTTACTGCGATGATTTAGAGTGTTTCGCGAAAATATATATTGTATCTTATAATAATATCTTGTACATACGATCCATTAAAAATCTTGAACTAATTCATATTTATTTTATCAGGTCATAGTCGAACAATTGTTGGTTATGAACAACTCCGTAGCGGTCAAATACGTCTTTTGATATTTGATCCAAGTACACCTAAAACTAATATTGACCAATTTCGTAAAAATCCTAATGATAAAATTCATATATTTCGACGAACTTTACAATCATTTCAAAAACCAGTTTATCAAATACTTGTCATACGAGGTTTACTCAGAACAGAAGAAAGAGAAGTAAAACGATTTTTAAAAAACGACAATTTCTTCTAATTCTATATTTTTTCTATAGGCTGCAAAACAACTTCGTTCTATTAAAGTACCAATACCAAATACTTAATTCACAAATTAACAATGAATAGTAGTTTTTTCTTTTTTTACGCAATTTTATTTAAACGATATAATCTCTATTCAACAATCAAGATATTACTAATTAAGTTCAAAACAGTAAATTTTTCTTTTTTTCTAGATTGAATTTTAATGTTTCTTGCTGTTATTGCTTTTACATTAAGTTCATTCCGTCATTATATTATGTTCAATCATCAAAATTTAGTCGAAGACGATAATGAAGATGATGATGAAACAAGTAAAACTATCTTATTTGATTAAGAAAATTAAATAAATAAATATTTTTCTATGTATTTTAGATAGTTCAACTATTTTGGATAAAATTCGTTCAATTGTAACATATATTTGTACTTATTTATGGGCGATATCTTTTATTCTTCTTATATTTATTCTTTATGCATCTATTCGTGGTCCATTTAATATTATCAATAGTTTTAATACTGGTAAAATCTAATTCATTAGAGGAGATTTATATTAATTTTATTGATTTAAAAATTTATACTTCTTTTTTTAGCATTGATAATATGATTTTCTTTTGTCATATTATCAATAATATATTTTTATTATTGAACAATTGTAATGTTTATATACATTAGTCTCTGATTTAGTTTTAACTTGAGTAGTAAATTTATCTTGATGAAATAAGGAGAAAACAAAATGAGACCTACAAACTAAACCAAGGTCTAAAAGAGAATAAGAAAAGAAATGAATCTCTCTATTCTCTTTTCCATACCGAATGTTTTTTTTCTATCTATTGAGAAATAGAAAGAAAAAGAAAGAAAGAAAAAAAAAGGAATACTCTTCTGGTTCTCGTCTCACTCTCGTTCTGTCTATCTTTTTCTAGATATATATATATATCTTCATTGCTGTTGCTACTATTACTGCCCTATACTTTCTTATGCATCTATAATATTCTACTACATACACACAGAGGCGCATCTTTCTTCTTCTCTTTTTGATTCTCTCGGGTGGCTTTCTACTGTCGTATGATTATTTACAACAAATATGTTAAACGTCATATTTTGTAAGTTTTTCTCAAAAATTTTTTTTTGATGTATCCTTATTTATTACTATTGTTATGTCAGTCAGTTTTGTTCAGTATAAATGTTTAAACTTTATCAGTTTGTAAAACAAATAAAAAATTCCTTTCTTGATTTTTTTTCTTCTAGCAACAATGTTCTTTAATACTCTTACTCCCAAATTTTATGTTGCATTAACTGGTACATCATCATTAATATCTGGTCTTATCTTAGTAAGAAAAATTCTTCGAAAAAAACATATCTAAAAAAATATTTTATTTCTTAGATATTTGAATGGTGGTATTTTAAACGATATGGAACATCATTTATTGAACAAGTTTCTATAAATCATTTAACACCAATTTTAAATGGAAATGAATCAAATAATTCTTTATTAAATAATAATGATGCATCAACTTTATCAGGATCGTCAACATCACCAATGAATGGATTTAATAGTGGAAATAGTAATATAAATAATTGTGGAATGTCAAATGGAATAGATTCTACAACACCGGTGACTGGAACAAATGAATGTAAAGTATGGAAAAATCCATGTGCATTATTTCGTGGAGCTGAATATCAACGTTTAATACAATATAATGGAAAAGAACCATTAACATTTCATGATATGAATTTATCAGCTCAAGAACATCAGACATTTTTTTCATGTGATCTTGATGAAGGCAAACCTGAATACGAAAGTAATATATATTATAAATTTGAAAGACTTTATGCTAATTTCTTATTTTCTAGTGATGCAACGAGCATGGCGTGAACGAGCACCATCAACACGTATTCAACTTGCTCGTGATGCATTAGAAAAAAACTCTGAGTAAAAGAAAATGATTTTTTCTAATATATTTCTTTTATAATATTATTATTAGATTTACACCTGCTTTAATTCTTCTTGCTGAAGAAGAAGCAACAACAATAATTGAAGTTGAACGTCTACTAAAACAAGCATTAAAATGTGCTGAAAATGCATATAGAAAATCACAACAGTTACTTGAACAGGGTCATAATCAAGATATTGTACATAGTAAGAAATGTTTGCTTAATATATCATATATACTTATTCATTTTTTTCTAGAACGTAATACAAATATATTAATTTATGTTAAACGACGTTTAGGAATGTGTGCGAGAAAATTGGGTAAATTACGTGAAGCAACTAAAATATTTCGTGATCTAGTGAAAGAATTTCCAATGATGTCTGTTTTTAATATACATGAAAATCTTATTGAAGTTTTACTTGCTCTTCAAAATTATCCAGATGTACAGGGTGTTCTTGCTAAATATGATGGTAAAAATTTTCGATTATTTTTTATCAATTGAATATATTAATTTTGATAAATTTCTTTTTAGATATTAGTCTACCAAAATCAGCTACAATTTGTTATACAGCTGCTTTGCTTAAAGCTAGAGCAGTTGCTTCCACGTAGGTTTGTCATACAATGACATAAAACATAAGGATTTTTATATATAAGAAAATATATAATGTATTTTTAATAGAGAAAAGAAAATACTTGAAGATAATATATATATTTCGTCTTTATATAATAAAGCATTTGTCACGAATAGAGATATACTGTATCGATGTCAACATTAATATACTAAAACTGACATCATTAGTATTAATGGAGGCGTATTTTATCAGGGCACAATATCTTTTTGCTTAGAATTACGAGGTATACTACTAGATATTGTAACCACTAATATTCATATTCACTACAGTATTACGATAATGATTCTAGTAAAATGTACACCTTTCCAAATTTTATTTATAATCTTTATCAATAAGTAATCGAACGAATACATTTAGTTGTTTTTTTTGACATATATGATAGATTTAAGAAATCTGTGTACAAAGATTAATGGTATTGATGATTAATTTTATTATATGTCGTCTGCCAAAAAACGTTTCTTTGCATTTGATAAATATAAAGATGAATGTCTAGAAGTATTATTAAGATGATATAGCAGAATTTATCCTTTTATTCTTTTCTGAATATATATATACTTAAACTAATTAAAAAATTTTTTTTTTTTGCTTTTAATTAGATTTTCACCGGATGTAGCTAGTAAACGAGGATTAACTACAGCAGAAATGTCTGCAGTTGAAGCTATTCATCGAGCTGTAGAATTTAATCCACATGTACCTAAAGTAAATTATTATATATTCTATTTTATTCTCGATATATATACCATTTATTTTTTATGATAGTATTTGTTAGAAATGAAAAGTATAATATTACCACCTGAACATATTCTTAAACGTGGTGATTCAGAAGCAATAGCATATGCATTCTTTCATTTACCACATTGGAAACGTGTTGAAGGTGCACTTAATTTATTACACTGTACATGGGAAGGAACTTTTCGAATGATTCCATATCCATTAGAAAAAGGACATCTCTTTCATCCATATCCAACAGTAAGATAGATAGAAATTGTTTAATTATACATATATATGTATTTTTTATTTTCTAGTGTACGGAAACAGCCGATAGAGAATTATTGCCTGGTAAGAATAAAATAATTGAATTTAAAATCGAAATTTTCTTTTTATTTTTAGCATTTCATGATGTATCTGTATTTCCGAGAAAAGAATTACCATTTTTTATTTTATTTACAGCTGGTTTGTGTTCAGGCACAGCTATGCTTGCTTTACTTACACATCAATATCCTGAAATAGCTGCTTATATCGCTCGTCTTTTTCTTACTTGGTTTAGTGTACCTATACAATATCTAACGGATAAAATTGAATCAATTCTACCGTCAAATCTTTTTCAACAATTAGCAAAATTTTAAATTTCTCTTCTTCCTTCTTTTTTTGTCAGCTGATTGTTACATATGTTAAATGATGATGATGATGATGATCTCACCAAAAATATGTACACGTGTATGTGTCTGTGTGTATCTTTTCTTTCTTTCTTTCTCTATTTATCATTCTCATTGTTTATGTGTGTATGTTTATTCGTTTTTGGTGAATGACGATGTGCATTGGTGCATCGAAAAAATACGAGAAAGAAAAAAAACAATATGATTAAACTGAATGTGTTTTTTTTCACAATTAATATTTGCATAAGGATGATTCAGTATAAAATGGACTTTGGATAAAAAGAGGAAGAGGCTATTCAGTAAACGTATATATATATAGATGAAATTTTTACTTTTCTTTTCATCTTATAGATAAAAGAGATAAATAATGAATACTGAAAATCTTACTGAAAGAGTAGTGGAAAAAGTAGAATTAGCTGCTGATGTCGGTACAAAAGTTGCCAATATGGTTGGCAATGCATTTGAATCAACTATTGCAGATTCGGATCCTTCATCAGGTGCCGAAGAAGAAACCATATTAAATTATTTTATGTCATTTGGTATACATATTTTAATGGTTATCATTGTTATTCTTCTCAAATGGCAATATGGTATAATTAAATAAAATAAATTGAAATCTTTTATTCATTTTTTTGTTTCTTTTAGATCGCAATCGATATCGTTATCCAAAAGGACCACGTGATTGGAGAGATATTAAGGATGCAATATCATTTCATCGAAAAAAACGTGAAAATTTACTTAATCTAGCAACTGATTATCCAGATATATGTACAGTCCTGACTCATTCTGGTCGTTTAGTTTTATTGAATGATCCTACACTTATTAATGAAATCTTCGTTGGACGTGCTGATTTAGTTAGTAATAAAGTTGATGGCTTTCTAGAAAATCAACTACGATATAAAGAAGGAAAACATATTCGTACAGGTATGATAAAAGTATATTAGAAAAATTAGATTTTCGAATTTATTTGAAGAACTAGATAATCTATATATAAGTGGAAAAAAAATAGTCGTTTATTTTGAACGACATAAAAAAATTTAATAAGAAATTGAAGAGAGTACTTGACAAAAATCTAATCGATGCTGTCGATTGTTAGCATTACTATCGATTTTCTTGTTGAATAAAATATATTTATATTAAAAACATTCTATTAGTACACAATGATGTTAACTATAAACAAATATTTTCAAGCTTCTATAGCTATTATATTATTTTGTAGATGAAGGATAATAGCTGTTAGTTTTCATCTTTTATGAGCATCACTACTAAAATCTATATTTATTCTTTTTTTTCATTAGGTATTGTATTTCGTCATCAAGATCATAATGTTCGAATAATTCATAAAGCACTTGTAAATCATATTGATAATAATCTTGTTGGCAAACGTCTTGATTTAGCTGTTCAAGAACAATTAAAAAATATGCGCCTTTCGGAAAATTTTGATGTTCGTCGTACAACATTTTATTTTGCTACTCGTTTACTTACATCACTTTCATGTTCATCAACACCTATTTCAGCGGATGATAAAACATTTGAATTATTTGAACAAAATCTATATAAAATATCGAAAGCTATTCATGCAGATACATTTCAAAAATCTGCTAAAGCTATGCTTTCACAATTAACTGGTATGTCGGAAACATTAGATATTAATGACAATGTCTTAGATTATATTACAACTTGGATCAAACAACGACGAGGAGGTGAATCAAAACGTAGTGATAATGTTAATGATGAACAAGTTGTAACATCAACAACAAAAATTAATAATGATTTTCTTGATTCAATTTTGGATGTTATCGATGAATCATCACCAAATTTGGATGAAGATGATATTGCTGCTTGTGTACTTGATATTATTATGCATGGAAGTGAAATGCTTAAAGGTGCTTTATCATGGTTATTACTCTATGTTGTGAAATATCCTGAAGAAGCTGATACATGTCGACGAGAAGTTCGGTATGTTAAATAGAAAAAAAAACTAATTTTATTTTTATTTTTATTATTTTTATCTAGAGATAATGGTTATACAAAATTTAATCTCTCATCAGCCGAATCTCTCGTTCATACACAAGCATTTGTTAAAGAAGCTTTACGTCTCTCGCCTGTTGTCCCTATTATTATTCATTCAACATTACAAGATTTTAAATGGCGTAAATTTCACATTCAAAAACGTACACAATTTGGTGCCAATATTATTGCTTTACATCATTCAGCTGCATGGAAAGAATCAGAAAAATTTGATGTTACTCGTTGGATTGGTGATAATTTATCAACAATTCCAGCACATTCTTATTCACCATTTGGTTTTGGTCCACGTGTATGTGTTGCCGAAAAACATATATTTAATTTATTAACTGGTATTCTTGGTGTACTTTTATATCATAATGATTTTGAAAAAACTGGTCCATTACCTGAACCAAATGAAGGTACATTCGGTTTAGCCAATTTGCCACCAAAATTTTCGCTTAAAGCGACACAACTTAGTTCACGTTCATAGACTTATTTTAAATTTTTTTCCTTTTCCTTTTATTATTATTATTTTATGACTTATAAGTCAAACTATATTCATTTAAACAAGCACTTTGTATTTCATTGTAACCTAATGAAGAGATGTATGTATATACATTTGTTCATTATTTTTTCTCTCTTTCTCACCAATTAGGTCTTAAACAGGACATAAATAATAGATTTCTGTCTTGATAACAGATATATGTTTATTATAATTTGGTTTGAATGATAAAAATCTCGATCAATATGCTTTTTATTTACGTTGAAAAAAATTATATGAATGAATTTATTTACTTCTATAATTATATTGATGAAATAAACGAATAAAACAATGCTTTAAACGATATTGTCAATAATCGATCTTTTCTTCTTAATAATTATTAGAGCAAATATATATTGTGAGCTATTTAAAACAATTGAAAGTTTTAAAAAGTGTCATTAAATGAATTTATGTTAACTAAAACTGAGTCTAAAAGATGAATGACTTCTTTAAACAGAAATAATTGATACTTAATGGATTCAATATGGTGATTACAATATTCTAGTAGTTCATTTCTAGATTTAAACATGTTATTAGCTGTTTTACGATTATTAAATAAATCGAAAGTCTCCATTCGACATTCATCATATATTCAAGGTCAAGCACCACCTGATCGTTCAGATATTCGAGAATATTTTTATTATATTGATTCTTTTGGACAGGTGCAATAAATCGTCTCATTTTTCATTCTATATATTTAATCCTTCTCTCTATAGTTATTCTTAGATGATACTCGATTCAAGAATTTCACTTCATGTTATAAAGGTTTGTGTATTAACAAAAAAGAATTTTAATTAATCAAATAAAAAAAATTATTTTAATAAAATTTAGATCCAAAATTTCTACATTTTTTCTTTACTCGTGTTCAAGCTAATACATACAATGATCGCCCCTATTCTTCAACATTTCCATATGTATCTTTATGTGGTCGTGAACGTAATTTTATTCGTTGCGCTGATGTACCATTCGTTTTAACTCGATTGATTGATGATAATGATCTATTTGAATGTTGTCATATACCATCAACAATATTTTCCATTCAATTTCAACCTGAAAAACTTTATGTTAAACCAGATACAGGACGAATTTATTATCCATTATCAGAAAAATTTCATACTGGTATTGCTCTTATTAAAGATGCTATTGCTGAACAATTGAGTTCTCATCTTATATACGATGATAAAATCGATGGTTTACCTATTAGTATTACATGGAAAGGAAAAATATACGAACTAAAAAAAGATAATCAAATAGAAAAACTTGTTTATGAACATAGTAAATTTGAAATATAAATATTCTCTTTAAACATTGTTTAATACTTTTTAAACTAAATATAATTTTTTATTTGAAATAATAGAATATTAAAGATTGTTTCCGTTTATTAGTTTCTTCATTATTATATCATCAATTACTAAGAAAAAAAATACGCTGTCATTCTTATTACTCACGCGATCTATTCTATCACGATCAAACTTAAAAAATTGTATCTATTCACACTTGAAAAGAAAAGAGAACTTTATGTCAAATGTGTCTATTTTATCTTTTCACTTATCATTTTTCCTAATGATACTAAAGTAAAATAATTTATAAATACTATTCTCAAACGTACAATAAACAAAATTTTTGGTCTATTAATAAAAATTAATTCAATTTCGACATTTATAAATCAAATTAATTCAAGAAGCAAAATAATCATTTATGATCTAATTTGTACCGAAATAAAAATCGGAAAAACGTTTAATTCTTCGTCAAATAGATCAATCAATAGAAACGAGAGCATATTATTCCAAGTAAGGACAAGTATAATGACGTTTTATTTATAAACATTAAAGTTAATAATAATTCATTATTATCATTTACCTAATTTATAATTGCTTTTCTTTTCATATTATAAAGTAATTAATTTTTCATCTGATAAAATGTATACAAAGAAAACATTTAATTCAAATACAAACATTAAAAACAAAAACATCTTTTACAAATAGTTTCCTGCTAAATTTTATATCATAGTAGCCGAACGTTACAGAGAATCGCGTTGATTTGGAGTACTTGAATTATTTCTATCCCGATTTGTATAAGGGTTTTGTGTAAAATTACTTGATAGTCTTGGACGATATTGACCAGGTATTGATGATTTTGATCGATGGCTACCCAATGAATATAAACGTTCATTTTCTAATTTATTTATATAATTACGCAATATTCCGCTTTCTTCCCATGATGAGTCATGACGTATTAAACAACGTTGAAAACTTCGAAGTACTTCACGTTGAACTTCAGAATTAACTATTGTATATACTAATGCAACAAGTACACCCTTAAATAATAAGAAAATATAATTTAAGTTCAAAAAAATTCTATTTAATATATACTTGAAGTGATGATGATATAGTATGAACAGTAAGATGAATAACAATTAAATTCGATATTAACAATGGTTTTGTATTCCACATAAAGAAAAAATAATGTATACCAAATAAAGGTAATAATATTAAAGTTGAACGTGTTAAACGACTAAGAGGAATTTTGGATTTTTATAGAGATTATTCGAATTTGTATTTAATAAATTTACCTATATTTCGAAAAACGTCGTTGATCAGAAGGTGCTCCTACTTGATGAGGTGTATTAAGTTTTCGTATGAGTAATGTGCATATATAAGTAAAAATACACATATTTAACTAAATTAAATAATAAATTATTATTAACTTAAAATAAAAATCATCATTCTGATAATTACAATTTGAAGAATGACATTTGGTCCATGAAGAATCCAATCATAGATTGATGGTTCAAACCAACATGTATATAAATCTGTCTTCAATATCCAACGTATTACATATGTACTTGTTGTTAAATAAAGTGGTGCTACTGAAAATGACATAAATATATGTTTTTCTTCCGTATCTATGGTATTAAATATTTTAATGTACTCACACCATCCTGTTAAAATATACCATCGAACCTGATCTTTACGCGGTTTAGCACGTAACAATCGATATAAATATAAAGCTTCACAAAACACAAACCAATGTGCAACACTACTACTAATATAATTCATTAGAATTGTAAATAATTTACAATCAAGTAACTAAAATAACAAATCAAATAAGTATTCACATTGAACAAAAATTTATTCTTACATGATCTTCTTTGAAATAAATATTTGTTCGATTACATGCATCTGTACGTTCAAATACATTATGAGAAAAATAACCTTTATTCATATAGAGTTCAGCAATTAGTTGAATAATTGATCGGATAAGAAAAACGAAAAATATATTAACATGAAGAATATTTCTCGAATATTTTCGAAGACGACTAAAATTATATTTTTGTACAAAATTATAAAAATCTTCTTAACTAACCTATTACCAAGTAAAATAAAAATACCAATAATAAGAAGTGTAATAGAAAGAATATTCGCACAAACAATAAAATATTTTCGTGCTATTATATAATTAGGAGGTATGGAAAATGTTTCTGTCATATTCTAATAAAAAAAAATGTTTTATTTGAATCTAAAACATTCAAAAACTTACAGGATAACCATCCGATGAACAACCAATACATAATTCATAATTACTTCGTATATCCCATTGAGATTTATTTGTACACAATCGGGAAGCATATGCTAATAATTAAAAAAAAATGTTTTCTTTTTAGTTTATTTCAATGAAATTTTTAAACCATATGGACTAGCATGAGGAAAGATATGTGTTGAACATGATATAATACGTCGAATACCAGCTTTTGTTGGTGGCCAGCATGATATTCGATCGAATTGTGCTGGACAATAGAGATCTAAACATACATTTTAATGTTTTTATTTTGACTTATTTTTAAATTTACCATTCAATACCCATGAGGATGCATTATACAATTGTGTACAAACGTCAGCCGTCATTTTCATGGTCGATGACAAGGCTACAAATATTCAATATCGATTTTGTTTTTTTTTTCTTTTATATTAACTGTGATTGATATCAATCAAAATATTAGTTGTCATATTTATTACCTGTCGTCATTTTATCTGGGTTGTTAGGCGTTATTTAGTGAAAAAGTAAAACATAAAAAAGACGAAGAAAAATTTTTGATTGTTTTTTTTGTATGTATTCAATAATGAAGTTTGTTTCCCATGATAATAAAAAAAGAGTTTCTATGACATAGTTAGTTATGTTGAAAATAACGATCTTAAATAGAAGTTGATGTCTTTCATTTGTCTATCAATCTTAATACAAAGAGTTAGATTTCTCTAGCGATTTCTCTTCTCATTTACTAGACAGTTGATATGATAAAGAGAAAGCATACTGTTGACAGATTGTCACATCTATCTCTTTTTTTCGCTAATACTTAACTAAACTTGATCTAAATACATTAGAGAATATGAACAAGAATGAAACAAAACTATTGACAATCACACGACATACTTGTTCCGCATATATATTCACATGCGTATATATTTATATTTATATATATGATTGATTTATCTTTTTTTGCTCTGTCTATATTGATATAATAATAATAATAAATGTTGTTTTTGATATCAGAGATGACTTTTGAAAATAAAGCAAAATGAGAAGTTTTAGATCAAATATATTAATGTCACTCAAATTAAATTGAATAAAATGAAATATTATCTCTCATGAATCAAAGATAGGTTTTCATTTTCAAATAAAATATGAAGTTCAACAAGTGCTAGTATACATGTTGTTTTAAATAATTAATAATGATTGATAGATTAATTATAGTATGAGATTAGTATTATTATTTTCTTGGTTAGAATAAAAGGAGCGAAAAAGAGAAGACAGAAGTTGTAGAAAACTTACACACACATACATACATGAATTTACTCGTTATAACAACTACGTAGAACACATAGACATAGGAAAAAAAAGAGAGAGAAAAAAACACACACACGCACACATACATACAAATACAACATCAACGAAAATATGAAAATTAAAAAGAAAATCGATAATTTTACATATAATAATATTATCCCATTTGAAATTTTTTGTTGTTATGATATTTTTTGATGATGAGCACTGTTCATCTTTTATAGACATATTCAATAAGCATTTGTAAAAGCACCGGAAAAAAAGAGAAGAACAACATTGGATAAGCTATTATATGAATAAACTGACTAGGTAAAAATATATGAATAAGAAAAGAAGAAGATTCTATTTTTTTGCCAAATTTTGTGAACCACCAAATTTTCGAATAGATTCCATTAAATCTTCATGTGATGCGCCTGAATTTGTACTCGATCGATCATCGCTTTCAACTGACGTTAATCGTTTACTTTTCATATCATTTGATGTTGTTACTCCATCACGTACAGTAGCAGTTGTTGTTGTTGTTGTTGTTGTAGTTGATGAAGATGTTGCTTCATCGCTAGTGCCATTACCAATACGTCGAAATGTACGATATTCTGTTATTTTTTTACCAGATGGCTTGGGAGCAACTGCTGGGGGCACTGATTGTTGTGGGACAGGCGAAGTTCGCATTATCAATTGTTTACGATCACTTTCCACAGTAACCTTAAATAAAAAAAATTCTAGAATCAATAATTATTCAATCAGTTCAAATTTACTGTGATATGAGTAGTTCGCTCAGTAACTTCAAGCTAAAAACAAGAATAAAAAGTTTTTACATAATAAATATTTTAATTAAATCGAACCTGCATTGGTGGTGATGGAGATTTTTCTTTATCTTGTCTTGTTTTCGAATCATCAGCATTATTATTAATTAATAGTGAATCTTCTTCTTTATCATATTTTTTTAACAAGGTATATGCTTGTTTACCTTTTGTTTGATTTTGTACAAAATTTGGTACAAATTTTTGTTGTGTTGAACTATTGGATACTTCTGAAGAATGAGAATTTTTATTTATTTGTTGTTCTGTTTTTTGTTGATTAGTTGAATCAAATATTGCAACAGAACTATTAACAAAACCTCGACTATCTGTTTCAAATTTTCCATGACGACTTTTAGCAACACGAAAATAAGATACATTTTCATTGGTTTCTTTTTCTTGTTTTTCATTATTTGAATGAGTACGTGCTCGTTCATTATGATCATTAATAATACGTATAAGGCCATCAGTTGTCGAAGATTTTTTTTCTTTGTGAACACTTTGACGAGGTGGTTTTGCTATTGGTGTATTTATAGTGGGAGTTTTGATAGCATCTGTTTCAACTGGTTCAACGACAGGTTGAATATTTATTGGAGATATTTTCTAAAATAAAAATTTGTTTTCTATAATTCAAGGCCTTTTTTTTATCGAAAAATAAAAAAATCTTCGATGGTTGTAAAAGGAAACTTTATGAATATATGAATCATGTTTTATCTTTCAAGTATTAAGAATCTAGACTAGATTTCTCTTCAAAGTTTTACTAAGTATACTCTATAAATATATAAAATATACAAAAAATGTTAATCGGAAAGAAATGCATCTGACAGAGTGGCCTTTTCAACAATAGCAGTGATAAGAATATTTTGGAATTTCAAGGAAGTCTATTCAGAGCTATCATCTAGACTAGAAGGATACAATGAGCTTTTTACATCTACACAATTTCTATTTAGTCTTACATTATGAAAAATGAATAATTAAAGAAAAGAAATGTTTACTTCTTTAGGTTTATCTTCTTGTTCTTGTATAATTATTGGTGTTAATTTTGGAGTTTCAGTTATTGTTTGTTCTAAAGAATGGTTTAATGCTGGTGAATGATTTTCAATAACTGTTTGTTCTGAACAATTCATTGTTGAATTCGTTGTAGGTGTTTGAATTTCTAATGAATTTAATAACTGTTGATCATCAGTTGAATTAATTGTTAAATTATTTTTTTGTACTTCATCAGTTTCTTCGATTTTATGAAGTACTTCATGAAAATTATCTATCGAAGGTAAGACAACATTTGTTTCTGAAGTTGTTGGAAGTGGTGGCGGTGGCGGTGGTTCTAAACCTAAACAAAAAACTTATGCGAAAAAGAAAGGAAAATTTGTCAATTTACCTGGTCGAGTAGCATCATTTGTTAGATTTTGTTGTTCTTCTTCTATTTCATCTTTTTTCTCAGTCAAATGATTGACAGGAACTACTGGAGCTTTTCGTTTTTTCTTTGTATTTTCTGCTGTAAGTGATTCTTGACTTTGATGATGTTCAACATGTAATGACCGTGTAGGTGAATGCAAATTCATAGGTGGTTGTTGTTGTTGAATATAAACAATTTGTGGTTCATTTCTATGAGGACTCATATAACCAGGTGGTTTTGGTGCACGACGTTTTTTTGTTACTGATGAAGTAGTCGACATTTGAGATTGTGTATCAAAATTTGGATCATTCCAATAGGCATGTAATGATGTATGTGATGGACGAATTGCATTTACTTGTTGATCCTGTTTAATATTCATTCCTTGTTGTTCATTTGTTAGTTCTTGAATAGTTTCTGATTGTGTACGATAAAGTCGATCAAACGATTGATGTTCGCTTCTATTTGTTTGTTGATCAAATTGACCATCTTTATTAAATATTAATGTCAATTCATTTGTTTTATATTCAGCTAATGATAGACCGAGTAAGAGAGGTTTATCAAGTTTATTTGGTAAACGTAATGTATATTGATGTGAATGAATATATTTTTTTTGTTTACATATTTGTTCTTTTATTTCATATAATGGTAATGTTGGATCAACACGTATCAAAATTTTTTGTGCATCTGGTAAATTAACTTGTAAACGAACTGTTATCTAAATAATTTCATAATATTTATATCAAAAAAACAAATAAACTATTTTATTTTATATACTTCAAATGGTTGAGTTTTAGTTTTTGGTGTTAAGTTTGAATGTGTAGGTTCTTTTGGAAGAAGACTAATAGTTGAAGAACCTGAAAGTAAAAAGAAACGCATTGTTTTATTCGATTTTAAAATATAGAAAAAAATTAAGCAAAAATAAAGCAAGAAGCAAATTCCGATTCATAAATTACCATTTATTTGTGGTAAATGACAACTTTTAACTGAAAGAATACAGGTTTTTTTATCTAAATTTATTCTGAAATTTTCAAAAATACCTACCGATTTGTCCAACAGTTTGATTAGCTTTAAAATGAATAACATGTTGATTTGAATCGAGAACAACAAGTGAATAACCACTTGGATTAAGTTTATTTAATGATGCTGCTTGTACAAGTAAATCCATCATTGGAGTACTAGTTTTTAAAAAGAAATTATTTATAGATAGAATATATTAATATATATATATATATGTAGAATTAATTACTTTGCATCAACAGTAATAACGGATGGAACACCATTCGGTAAGATTAGTGTTAATTGCATTTTACCAGTTTGTTCTGGTATTGATTGTTGATGATAAAATGTTTGATGACCATGTCCATGATGATGATGAAGATGGACTGGACTTTGCTCTACTATTGGCATCATTAGAAATAGAAGAGATTCAAGTTATTGTTTTTTTTATTTGTAACAAAGAAAAAGATGAAATCTAGAAAAGTAAGAATATGTTATTAGGAAAATTTTATTCTTCCTACGGAATATCATCACATTCTTTCTTTTATTCTTTTAGAACCTGATGGTATTTTATCATTCTTAACGATACTTGACTTCATTACAGAATATTGTGTGAAGAATATCTCCAATCACTATTAGTGCTACTGCTGTTGCTTCAGCTACTAATATTACTATTGACACAGTCCAATTCAGTTAGCTTGCAGTGGCGGCGGCGCAGCACGTCTCTCTCTCTTTTTCTTCTTCTTCTTCGCCTTCTTCTATTGCTTTTCTCTCTGTCCACAGACGCATGTATATACTATAAAGAATCGAAAACAATCGACCTTTCCTTGTTTTTTTTCTCCCCCTTCTCTCTTTCATTCTCTCTCTCTCTCTGTCTCTTTCATTTATGCTTATCACAACAACAAAATCACTGAAGTGCATGTGATCGAACTGAATCAATAATCAAATTTACTATTGATGTTGTAAGGCTTATCAAGGTGTTGTTATTTCGTTATAATTAAAGATGAAATAAAAAGAAATAACCCTGAACATATTTCTTTTCATTGATTTCCTTTTTACATTATGTATTTTATATATTACTCTCAGTATTTTTGATCCTCTTCGTCCTCGAAAAGATGTAGAAAGTGAATGTATGTGTCTATATGTCGTTTTTTGAGGCCATGAATAGATACATATACTTACTCATTTATACACATAAAGTTTCTTTTTTTCAAATGACGTCATAGAATGTTTACATAATTTAATCATCATTTTTCACGTAATCGACACTCACGACAATGGTTTAAACTGATACAATAGATTAATATCATTTTTTCTTTGAACGTGTCATATTTCTCCTAGGGGCTAAAATATAATTTATATGTCCTCACTTTCATAGATAATATTCGATGAATAAAAATGCAGAAGAAGTATAGATATGCATAGGCCAGCTGTTACTCATATTTGTCACAAATTATAGGCGAAAGCACATTTAAACGGTTATTAATGATGGATAATACATCATTTTTTTCTGATCGACAGTCAATCGTATTGGAAGCAACACATATACGTGACCTAAAACAGATTCTATTCATCAAAAAAAAAGAAAGTAAAAAAAAGAGAGAAAAATTGACTAAATAAAAGTATAATGATACAAGCATGTAGGCATTACTTACTTAAACCATTTAGAAGAATTCTTTTTCTTTTTTTTTATAATGCTTTCTCTCATTTTTCTTTCTTCTACTGTTCTTTTTAATCATGAACGAGGGACAATGAAAAAATGAATACAAAGGATCTAGTTGCGTATATGTATGTGTAATCAGTAGAAAGGACATGAGAAAGAAATGAAGAGAAGAGGAAAAGATTGCACTAGTGCTACTATGCTACAAACTACAACGACGACAACGACCATCATCATAACAACGCGCGCGACGGTCACCGTTGTTAGAGAAAAGGGATAAAAAAAAGGTATACGATGATAGTCAGTCGTCAAAAATTGATCTCTCATGTGTCTCTAACACTAAATGCACACCACACCCATGAGATTAAGGCTTTTTGTTCCGTTCTTTACTTGTTGTTCGTGTCGATAACTCATCCTAAACACGACAAGAAAAAAAAAGAGAGAGAAAGACATGCAAATACAACGATATACGTATGCACAACATGCAACTATGAGATTCAAAAATAAGACCGATCTTATTGATAACACATGAGGTACATGCATAAAAATGTACTAAGAGCTATTTGCGTTATTTATAGTTCCATAGAGAATTAGGATTAAGATGAAAGTACATCAATCACATGCGCATGCATATAAATCGGTTTTATTCTTTACTAAAAAAGTGAAAAAAGTACGATAAAAAAATCGAGAAGAAAATGTCAATAAAAAGAAATCTTAAGAGATTAATATAACAGATATCAACAAAAAGAAAGGTTATAATCAATTTCAAAATTTAAAATAAAATATAAAAATTCTATGTGTTTCATTTGTATTCCTCAGTATTGTAATATAAATATTCATGCAAGTATCACTCGTTATAAACCTGCATATCTAATACTATTCAATGAATACTTAATGATAATGTTAATGGAAACTACAGTCTAAATAAAGATATTTTGGCGAAAAAAAAATAGGAAAACTCATTATAAAAGTGTTATTAAAATAATCACATTTGCTTTTTACATAATAACTTCCTTTGTATTTAATATATCTAATTACTTTAATTTACTATTAAAAAATGTATCCGATTGAATATGTACATTTATTCATAGCTCGTACATCATATTTTTTTTGAACATTGTATAGACTTGGATTATTTAAAATCATAGAAATGATACGTACAATATATACTAATGGATTTAAATGATTTCATTGTCGTTTGCATACGAAATTTTAAAATAACATTATAAAGGTCATGTATATCAACTGAAATGATAATACATCCATGACATACGTTAATATGTTTAGCAAATGACTATGCAATATATGAGTTTATGTCAAATATCTTTATAAACTCTGTGAAAAAAGAAACTAATTACCATGATTTTCATATATCTATTATGTATATTTCATATTCATATGTCGGATCACGATGCATAGAATTATACTAGTACGAAACAGTGCATTGACTATATAATTATTGTCTTTTGTAAAATATGTCTCAAGATCATTAATAGTCTGATTAAGTTGCTTTTTATTGACAACCTTCATATTCAATTGTTTATGAAATCAATCAATGATTGCTAAAAATACAATGACTACTCGAATCTTCCGTTCTTATTTATATTTTAAAGAAGTATATTTATATTAATCAATCAACGTCTGAAACATATCAAATATCTTTAAACAGCGAATTATTTTTGATGAAATATACACATAACATTTTTGTACGATAAGTATTAAATTCAATACTTTGTTAGGTAATGTTTTTTTTCTCTACTAAAGTTCATATTCCGTTTGAAAAGAATTGAAAATAACTTATTTTTTTTTATCAAAATAGGAAATCAAGGAAACTCACATACCGATATTGATAGATATTTTTTTAACCTATTCTATATTTCAAATAAACAACAACTGTTCATAACTCATAATAGCACCTGCTGTCGTTGACATTCATAGAAGAAAAAAAATCGATTTCGAGACATAATTTAGGTAATATTGTCGTCTACACAAAACAATAGCCTGTTATTGTATAAACAAAAGGATTTCTTTTTCGAGGCACAGCTGTATATAGACATGTATATGTATACACTTATACGAAAGCAAATGCAAAAGAAAATAGTAACATACATATACTCCGACTGTCAACAGGATTAAAAGATAACACTATGATGACTAACTGACTACATAGTTATTGTTGGTTTTATTGACACTTTACTAATCTTTAATGAAGAATAGAATGGCAGTACTGACAAAGATCGTTAGCATGATTCGATTCTTATTTTTCAAAAAAAATAATATCTTAAATGAAACAAATTATAGCGTGCCTAAAATTTCTTTTATTCTAAATCGATGAACAGTAATCTATATTTATATTGTCAAACAAAAGCATTTCTAAGGTATATAATCTATCATTGCATTTGAAATAGTAAAAAAATCAATCGGTACCTGTTCTAAGAACTAGTTGAAAGACAATGTATCAGTTTTTTAAGAGAAAATATTGTTTAACTAGACAACGAAATCTTTAAAAGTTATATCTAAGAACATATTTTTCCATAAAAAAATCGTGTCTCTTTAGGTTTGAGAGACTTTTTATCAGCACTTTTTCCTTCTCGAGCAAAATTAAAAATACTGTTCATTTATAAAACACAATAATCGATACAGAATACGATAGTAATTTAGAATAATATTTTACTGCTTCTCATTAATAAAAATCATGTTTCGCAACATTGGTTCTTTTATTCAATTATATCATTTTTTAATAGTTCTGATTTCAGCGAAAAGTCAATTTTTGCATATTATACTGCTATATATGAGTATAATTACAAGAATTAAACGTTTATTTCATAACAATAACACGTAAATTGTAAGGTTTATTCACAAAGAATTATTTTTGGATGTATTCATTTTTTCTTTACATATAGTTATGTCAAATAAATAATAGTTTTTAAATATATACATTATTATGTATAATATGGCATCTTTTATTGTCGATAGTTAATTTTCTGATCATATTCAATTTTTTTATACGTATATAGATACGAGAAAAAGCAAACATTTGATATTTAATATAAGTACTATTGGGAAGCAATTTCAAGAACATTTGCGATTTTATGTCATGACATTCATTCTATTATGCACTTTTCTTCGTGTTAGACATTTTTATCTTAAAATAAACGACAAGGGTAATCTCCTTTTTTCACAAAATACTATCAATTAAAATTAATTTATGTGAAATAATTGAGTAAACCATATTCGCTCGACATACTTATTTAATATTAAAAAATATTAGTTTCTTTCAATAATAGAGTTTGAAGTCATTTTATTTTATTGGTTATATTACATTAAAAATTAGATGAAAAAGATGTCACCCATAGATATAATCTTTGATTATTTATAACAATAATAATTACTACATATCAATTTACGTTTCCTGATTGTAAATGCGAGTACGAATTTTTTTTTCTTAGTAATAAGAAGAACATTAATATCTATAAACGTGTATTTATATTGAGAACATTTATTTTCCTTTAGGTCACATACATCTATACACCATAAAAAACCATATTATTACTGGTTTATTTAGGTACATTTCTTTTTTTGATAATGCGCAGTAAAATAGTTGTTTACATACATTCATTTTATATAGATAACGTCAGGTAAGTCATATATTTTACTTTGTTAATATAAATGATTGTATAAAATGAGTCCGTTTTTTTCTTTGATTTTATGTAATAAGTAAAGTAGTCATTTCAGTCGGTTATTTTTACGTCTCTGTTTGCTTTTCTTTTCAGTTATTTTGAACTCTTCACTTATAGAAACTCATAGAACAAAAGAAAAAATATTCTATTGAATATTTTGGTTAAAAATAGAAAAAAAAAATGTGCGTAATAAAAATATTTGTAATAATCTTTTTATCAATCACATAGAGACTTATATTAAATATATATTTATTCATGAGGTGTAGATGATGATAAATATTTCTCATGCATTTAGAAATAGAATAAACTCACTATCATGTTGAGTATATTCTTAAAAGTGCTTATAGAAGTTCTTTTATTATAAAAGAAAAAGTAGTCTAAATAAAGTATTAAAAATGTTCTTTTAGTTTCTAAAGTTTATTTAAATACGTCATAAAATGTTCTAAATGGTGAAAAATGATAAGTACTTTTTTTAATGGTGAATGAACTTCTTATTAATTTTACTATATTAGCATTCTTAGTCTTTATTATTTCCGCTATTATTTGAGTAAGATTATTTTTCTTCACTTGAAATTGATTAATTAATTTTTTTTACAAGGATTTTCAACTTAAAATAGTACTATTATTTAAAACATCATAATCATGGATTATTAAGAATACTTTTCATATAAAAAAAACTCTGATCTATCTGCTATAAACACGTTCTAGATTGTTTCGCAGTACTCAATTTGACCTCGACAAAAATTTTCTTTTCTTCTCTGTTCGAGTACATTCACCGCATTCGTCGTGTTTAGAATACTCCATATTTATTTCTTAATATTTACTCCGAATATACACGTTTCCTATGTTTTTTTCTCTTTGTAATTATATTACTAGTCGCAGATAGAACTGATTAACACATTATTCTTATCTTTTTATTTTCGATAGATCTTGCATTTTTTTTATATATAAATAGTTCTGATTGACTATTTATTATACAAATAAGCTACTTAATCATACTAAAACAAACACAGACAAACTGTCTATATATCAAAACTAATAAAAAAAATCTTATTATTACAAATGGCAAAAAAAGCAGTGAAACCAATTGAACAATGTATGTTATCCTAATATATTTATTATTTTTTATTTTATTATTATGATTAAATAGATTCCTCAAGTGATCAATGTCTTGTTGCACTTCTATGTGAACCACTGAAAAAATTGAAAACCAAAGTATTATTATAACGGAATTTTTTAATAGTCTATTTTTATATATTTTTTTAGCAATCAAATATGGTAGCAATAAAGAAAAGTGAAGAACTGCTTCGTTCAATTGTTGCTAACGAATTAATTTTTGATACTCCAACGTCGTTAGCATCATCTACAATATAAACTGATATTTTAATTATATTTTATCTAAAGACAAACTACTAAAGGCATAGGTGACAATGATCAAACATAAAGAATATTTATTAATGATATATATGGCCATCTATTTTTTAAACGATTTTACAGAACATTAAAAGTCATGTTTGTGAAAGATAGAAATATGAATCAAAGTTTTTGATGAAATCGTAATAGAAATTCAAGACAATTTTTTTTATAAAACGATTTACATTAAGAAATGAAATAAAACTATAGTACTTAATGTTTTTATATTAACATTATATCAATAGAATATATCAAAAGTCTTAAACCTTTTTAGATATATGATTCATCATAATTTTAGTGTTGATTATTAACAAGGTTTCTTTTGACGTATAACCAATAAATTCATTATAGTTTAGTAATAAAAAATATCCAGAAAAATGAGTTTTTATCATAGATATGGTATTAAACAATACACTATTTCAGATTTTTATAATTCGTTATAGTCGTTTTTTGTAAACGGATAACTTTCGTATATTAATTATCAAATTATCGGTGTTTTAAAAATTATTTCAACTAAAGTTTTGCTATTCAATAGTTTTTTGCACAATTAGTTTTGTAATATTTATATTTAACAGAGTTGAAGAAAAACATCATAAATATTTTATTTATAATATGCCTACAGCGGACTCTAAAAAGAGAAAAATCCAACAAAATTTCAATGCGTAAAGATATTTCAGTTGAAAGAGACTTTGAAAATAGAACTTATCAAGTAGGGAAATCATGTGAAGATAAATATGATGATTCACAATCTTTAGCTAATTAGGAAAAAAATTAATGGTGATACTTTCACAAATGAGTATCATATTTACATTAGCGTCTAAAACTAGGAATAACGTAGCTTCTTAAAAAGTATATTTGAATTAAAACAAACGATAAAGATCTAGATTGTGTCTTCATATAGTAGGTCAAGTAATTGATGTGATGGTTTCATTTATCGAAAATGAATAATATGTAGTTAATCTGAGCTATCAC